ATTTTGTCATGACAGCTGAGTCATGGCACTTTTTGACTTAGCAATGACTCTTAAAATTGTTTGTTGTTCTCGCCAGTCTCCCGTTGAGACCTTGGGTTGATGTATGACCCAAGATATTCTTTAATCTACACTTCGGAACACCAGAAATTTTCAGCTTCTTAACCACGGTTTTCCTAGCGCGGCGATTGGTCATCTTTTCTGGTTAAGGATCTTTAAGTGGTAAGCCCTCTTTCATTTTCTTCATTATTTTTTTTGGGTAAAATACAGTATTTCTTGTTTCTTGTAATTAAATTGTGTGATTTTGGATGCATAATGGTGAGAGTAAACTGAAATGCACTGACAAAGGAGCAGTCCTGAGCTTTCTGAATAACAGCAAAACAGTAAGAATACCTGTCGCCGTTGTTACATGTACAATTACGCGTGTTAATGGCTATCCACGTGTAAAAGTCATTGTGACAAATATACCTGGCTTTGATTTCACTCCAAACACCTCTGTTCTCATACACACCCCACCCTGATATGTCTGTGGCCGGAATCGCACATATCTCGTTTGCAGTCCATAAACAACATGCCTCACTTGTGAGTTTCTGTCATCAGTTTCCCATGAACACCTAAGATTTAAAAAGTTATGAAATACAGCAGTATGGTACATGGAACCTACAGGTAAGTATATAGGACGTTACGGGTGTACTTTGCGAAACCAAAACAAACCAAATGAAAGCAAACCGAACAAACTCAACTATAAACGAAAAGTTCAAGGCTGACACGATATATCTCATATAAATGAACTGTTACAGGGTTGCCAGTCGTGCTTCATTTATTATCATATAGCTGATTGGTTGACAAACAGAACTTTGGCTTCCAAAAACTAGGAAAAATGGAAATGGCGGTCGCCCAGTCGGTTACTTTAAAAAAGCTGGCCACTTATGCAAAGTTGTAAAGTTAATTTATGATACTATCAAGTGGCTTGTTTACGTTCGCTATCAGTAGGATTTCGCTCTCCAAGACATTTTCAGTCGCGCAATTATGTGAGTTGTAACTTTAATAAGTCTGTTTCATTTGGTGCATGGGAAGGGAAAATCGGTTTTAATGCTATCATATTATTTTTTTGTTATTAACAAACAGCATGTGTTTA